GATTTTTTCCTAATGTGGACACTTCTAGAGTGTTATATATTCTCTCTCAGAAACCTTCTTTAAAACACTGTTTTGGGGTCCAGTGAGATGATTTAGTAGCTAAAGTGGTTTGACATCAAGCCTGGGACCTGAGTGATCTCTAAACCCACAAGGTGGAAGGAGAAATAGATTCCCCAGTTTGAACTCTGTCCTCTATGCATGCTATGATGCGTGCACGCGTGCGCGCGCACGTGCACAGAAACACACACTCACACACACACACCTAAATAAATACAAGAAAATAAAATAAAATACTGCTTTAAGCCAGAGCTCACATTTACAACCCCAGCACTTGTCAGACTGAGGCAACAGGCTCTGGAGTTCAAAGGGCACTGTGGGCCACAGGGAAAGACCCTGCTTCACAAGAGTGTTTAGGTATGGTGTCTTTGTTGGTCCATTTTCTTGTTGATGTCATACAGTATCTGCCAAAAGTAACTCAGGAGAGGAAACGTTTATTTTAGTTCTCAGTTCATGGAAGCTAACCAGAGGCAGCAGGAACTTGAGAGAGTTGATCCTATCTCAGCAGCTAAGAAAGAACTGGGGTGAAGAAGGAGGAGAAAGGGAGGGGGGAGGGAGACTGAGGAAGAGAGGGAGGGAGGGAGGGGGAGGGAGGGAGGGAGGGAGGGAGGAAGAGAAAGAACATGGAGACCCTTGCCTAGGATCCTCTGCAGAAGGAATTGTACCACCCACAGTGGACGGGTTTTCCCACCTTAAATCAAGTAGTCAAGATCATGATAATCCCCCTTGCAGACACACCTAGAGGCCCATCTCCCTGGCAATCCTAGGTTCCACCAAATTGAGCACGCAAACCCTGATCACAGTGTCCCATGCCTGTAATTCCAGCATTTGGGAGGCGGAGACAGGAGAATCAGGGATTCAAGGCCAGGATTGGCTAGAGGAGATCCTGCTTGGGGGAAAAAAACAAACCCAAAACCCCAACCGAATCAAAACAGAATTTTTGCTTCACTGACTCTTACGGACTCTCCATCATCTGAGTTACGCAGCAGAGATTACAGAATTTGGGTTCGCTTCAAAGTTGAAGGCTGTGGGATTTTAGCTCTAGGGTGACTGATGCTTGTGGAGCTTCAGACTGAAGAGGGGGGGTCAGAGGACAGGATTTGGAGCATGTGGCAGGCCATAGGGCCTTCCAGATGTTGACTCATAGACGGCTGATGTCCCTTTAAGGAACTTTTTCAGTGACCCTGCAATGAAGGTAACTTAATGTTCTTTCTACTTAGCCATTGCAACCTGGCTGTGGTTTCGTATCTCTAAGCCCAGAACCGGGGAGGGCCACGGGAGGATCCCAGATTGAGTGAGAAGGGAAGGTGCCGAGGGATTGACAAGGACCTGATGACAATCTCCCTTCCTCCGTGTGTCAAGCATGCCCAGCTACCTATCTCCCTGTTGGAGTGAGTCCGGCTCCTGAGCCCCATTTTGTTGGGTGTGCCCCTCTCTTGCCGCCTCCCTCCTTTTGAGATGTGCGGTCCCTTGAACTGTGCTTGGGTGACTGTGTCGAGCCTTGCCCTCCCGAGTGCTGGGACTGTAGGTGTTCTCACTGTTAGTGGGGTGCCAGGCATGGTTTGAGATGTGCTAGACAAGCTCTCAGCCCACCGAGCCCATACCCTGGCTGTGATGTCTCTCTTAAACTAGGCTGTTTCTCATTTGTACTCAAGGCCCTTTCGTGATGTTCCAGAGAGAGGGTTCAAAGTTTTCAAAAACATCTGTCTCTCTCTTTTTTTTCCCCTTGCATGCTAACCATAGTTCTTTGCCTTTCTGGTTGAAAAAGCTTGCTGGGTGGTGGTTGTGGCCCTCACCTTTAATCCCAGCACTCGGGGAGGGGGCAGAGGCAGGTGGATCTCTGAGTTCCAGGCCAGCCTGGTCTACAAAGCAGGACTGCCAGGGCTGTTACACAGAGAAACCCTGGCTTGAAAAATTAAAAAATAAATAAATAAAACCTCATGTTCACCTGAGTTTTTACTTTTTGGTCTTTACTAGTAAAAAGATGGGAATACACTAACGAGGTGAGGGACATTCCCGGCTTGTGTCTCTTAGCCCTCACAGAATCCAGCCTTGGATGAAGGCCTAACCAACTTTTCCCTTTTGTCTGTGATGCTTTTTCTTCCTGTGTGGCTGCTGGGACCTGGTTGCTACAGCTTCAACTGTAGTCAGTCTTGGGTGTTTTGTTTTTTGTTTTTTGTTTTGACAGGATCTCTCTCAATATATATCCCTGGCTGACCCAAAAACTCACTATATGCATTTATCTTTTTGTTTTTTAAGATGACATCTCACATTAGCTCAGGTTAGCCCCAAACTTGTTATGTAGCTGAGGATGGTCCTTCTCCGTTCAGCTGTAAGGGGCCAGCTAGGTTTAATGAGTTCATTTCTTTTTTGTTGCCACAGACCTAGTGTCTTCTCCTCCGTGGCCCTGGAAGGGGTGGCCTTGGTGTGGTCTTTGCCCTGTTTGATTATGAGCTGTGCAGACTCCATTCGATGTCACTGTCGTCTGTCTCAGGGTCTTACGAGTGCTTCTAGGAAGGGGGTGCTGAGGAACCCAAAGCTGCACTGGGCTGTTCCTGTTCAGATCTTTAATGATCAAAATGTTCTGTCAGATACAGCTCGCTGCCCAACTCCAGCCCAAGCCAGCCTAGGCCAGCCCAGTCCAGGGTTTCTCAGACCAGCCCCACAGTGTTTGGGAGTTAAGTGAGTCTGTGGAGACCCCAGGACTTAAGAGTTCTGCAGGATGTAGTGACACAGGCCTTCAATCCCAACTGTCAGTAGGAAAGGCAGGTGGATTTCAATGAGTTCAAGGACGGCCCGATTTACATAGCAAGTTTCAGGTCAGCCAGGGCTGAAGAGTGAGACCTTATTTAAATAAAGAAATGGAAATTCAGCCAGTCTTCTGCCTCAGGATCCTGGAATGGGCAGGGGACTTCAGTAGCTTCCAAATCATGACTACAACCTGAACTTCTGTGCATATCCACACTGTTTAGTACCTGAGTTCCTCCAGGCCACTTGTTCTGGGAGCCTACACTTTGGGGCCTCAAATGTGCCTGTTTTGAGTGGGGCTGTGCTGGCCGCCATTCAGGGGAGACTGAATGTCCATGATCTGCAGCATTCACTGGTTTCTGTAGAGTGCACGCCCACCATTGCTGAGTAACTACCACACTGATGTCACTGAACATGGAGTAGAAGAGACACACCTAATTGGGCTAAAGCCATCTGTAAAATGCTATTCTTTTGCACACTTCTCAAAAGGGCACCCCTTGTGAGTTAGGGATCGAAAAGGTGAGCTGACCGGGTGAATTCTGGGCAGACCTGGTCATGGCTCACTGAGCGGATGGTAGGTGGCTCTCTCCCACAAGGTTCGTTAAGGGGATGTGAGCTAGAGTTCAGGCCCATGAGCCACCTTCGCCGTGCGTCTGTGTGCACTGCACAGTCAGGACGACTCCCCACGATGCTCCAGACGTGGGTTAATGGACACTTGGAATGAAGTAAAGTGGATGGAATGAAGCAACAACAGCAAAACCCTGTTACTTAGCAGCGTGGAAATCACTGCAGATACTCAGAGCACAGTATCGCCAGTGGTTGCTAAGATGAACCTAATTATTATTGCCACAAAAGCCTCCAGTTATACCAATCCAAAGGACATATATATATATATATAAAACAACCTGGGGATAGGCTAACACTACACATTTTGACTTGAGTTCATTAAACATTTTTATTTTTGATAACTTAAATCCTTAGATACAGTGAATATTTTTATTTTTTCCACATTTGTTTAGTGTGTATACGGGTGTGTGATCAAAGGACAGCTTGAGGGAGAGGATTCTCCCCTTCACTGTGTGTGTGGGTTCCAGAGATCAGCTCAGGTGGTCAAGTGTGGTGACAAGTGCCTTTGCCTGCTGAGCCATCCTGCCAGCCCAGTTCTGTGCTATTTGACAAGCTGCTTTTCATACCCTGTGGTTAATCTTGTCACTTTGATGAGATTTTATCACCCAGGAGATACATCTGAGTATGTCTATGAGGGCATTTCCAGAGGAGTTTAGAGGAGGAGTGTTCACCCTGAATGTGGACAGCACTATCCACTGTCTGGGGACCCATAACCAGGACAAAAAGAAAAGCTCATCAGAAGCATCAGCCCTGCGTCCTCACTGCAGGCGCAGTGACATCAGCCCTGCGTCCTCACTGCAGGCGCAGTGACATCAGCCCTGCGTCCTCACTGCAGGCGCAGTGACATCAGCCCTGCGTCCTCACTGCAGGCGCAGTGACATCAGCCCTGCGTCCTCACTGCAGGCGCAGTGACATCAGCCCTGCGTCCTCACTGCAGGCGCAGTGACATCAGCCCTGTGTCCTCACTGCAGGTGCAGTGACTGGCTGCCTCACATTCCTACTGTGGTGCCTTCCCTAGGTTGGACTGAACCTTAAACCATAGCAACAAGAAAAATGACTAAAATGACCCGACTTATCACACCAGCTACCCTTTGAGAGTGACTCTGTGTGGACAGACGAGGAGTCCACTGATTAGATAATTCAGAGTGACTCAGAAAATGGGATGAGGACCCGCCTAGTCCCATTTAAATAAAAAGAATCGTGTGTGTGTGTGTGTGTGTGTGTGTGTGTGTGTGTGTGTGTGTGTGTGTGTGCTTGCCTTAGTGTGTGTCTGTGCACCACCATCAGATTCCCCAGAAATGCAGTTACAGGCTGGGTGCTGGGAACTGAACCTGTGTTTTCTGCAGGAGCAGCAAGCAGTCTTAACTACACTTGAGTGCAGAGGCAGAGGAAGATCACCAGAGTCAGTTCTCTCCCTTTCACCCTGTGGGGACTGAACTCAGACTGCTGCGCTTGGCAGTAAGTTCTTTTGCCCGATGAGCATCTGGAGGATCCAGTCCCCTTTTCTTCTTTGACTGCTCTAGGTGTATACAGAGATATTTCAGCACTGTGAAACAGGCAGGATGACATGATTTTGGTGAATATACTTTATTTTTCATAAAAATATAATTGTACAATGCTCTTCTGAGAAAAAACATCCTTCATTGCCCCCAAATACCATGTGGTTTAATTATCTCTCATCTTTAAAAAACAAAATATGTATTTTAAAATTTATAACAACATGCAGCTGATTTCTGTGAAATATATTTCTTTTTGTTAATTTTACTTGCCTTTAACTAAAAGTGAAGCCCAGTTTGAATCTGTATTTTTTTTATAACCAGCCAAAGCAAACCCACCACAATTCAAAGATGGTAAATTTTAGATGGTGATGCTGAGCACGGTCCACAAGGCAAACAGTGACAGGGATGGCTGCTATAAGGTTCTGACGCAGGTGTCACAGAAACATTTTAGGTAAGATAGAAAACAAATTAAGAACTTCAGCTACAGCCTAAAAGCTGACCAGATCAGATCAATTCCATATTGCACCAGTTACTCTACTATGTGGGAAGTGGATTCTAAAATGATAGGAGTTGGATTGGTGTGAATTCACAAATATATTTTCTCCTTAATTTCTGAGATAAAAAGAAAAAGGAGACAGGCTCTCTTCCTGCCCTGGATGAAGGCCTTGGGCTCTGTCCTCTCAGCCTGCTATCATCTGGGAAGGAAGTGCAGTTACCTACAGTGCCACGGATGGAGATGGAGGTACTCTCGCTGTAGGAGTCAGGACCAGTGATTAGATCGCAGGCTTCTGAGGAAGAGGGGCAGCACAGCTCCCAGAGCCATCAACATGTCCCCTTCAAGCATAAGGCCCTTCTCTTGGTTTGATTACTCCAGAACACTAAAGTGACGTGGGCACATGAACAAACTCAAAGTGCATTCAATTTTCACTCTATTTGGGGAAGACCCTGCCTCACAATTAGAGCCTGCAGAGTCATCAAGCACAGTGCAGACATTCCACTGAGCAGCCACATCCATCCTGGAATGTTTTCTTTGAAAACAACTTTCCTAGAGAATTCAAAGATACTGAACAAAGCAACATAAAGTCATGGGCTGTTCTGCAAAGCAGAATGACTGAGTAGACCAACTGGCAGAAACATACCCAGGACAGTCTCAACACTATATTTGAAAACACTTAAATTCTGAAGGGTCTGAATATCAACTATCCTTTGCCTATATTTATGGTCCTAAGAAGACGTTAAATACCCTTAAATGCCCATTTTCTTAAACACAGAGAACCCCAGCAAGCTGGGCTAGTGGTCTGTCGGTGGTCACACACACCAAACATGGGATCTAAGTTTGAAGCTTGAGATCAAGGGATCTTAAGCTAAGGGGAGGCATCTGTTTAAATGCCTGCCAAGAGATCCATCTCATGTTCCACCTCACAGACAACCGCCAGGCATAGGCATGTCTGAACCATGGCTTGCAAGCTGTACATGCCTCAGAATAGCTAGGAATGTGTCCCAGCACAAAACTGTAAACTCGCTTAAAACATTCAGTTCTCAGGCTTCAAGTCACAATGTTGGACACGCCTGAAGACTATGACACCCCCTCACCCATTGCCAGTCTGTAGCAAACACTTTTTTGGAAGCCAAGTTCCTGCCTCATCAGAGTGAGGAACAATTGTAATTTAGCAGCAACAGAGAACACGATACACAATATCTGACTGAACTAGTGAGAGTGGAGTAGAGCTCCCTTATCTCTCAGTGTAGCCTACTATGAGCTCTGCCCTCAACTATCACTCCCTGCCATGTAAACGCAGCTGGGATGGAAACATACAGAGCCACCTGCACCCCACATGCCTGCCAGGCCCCAAGCTGCAGTGCGAGGCACAGCTCAGGGTGCCCCACCACAGTGGAGGCCCAGGCCAAAGTGGGTACAAACACACAGTGGGCTTCTTTCTGGCTCAGAACACACTCACAGGGACACTCAGGTCAGGGAAGAAATGGAGTACTCTGCCAACCGCAACAGTCGTTAGTGCTGCCAGCGGTCTGCCTGTGCTCTGGCAGACAGGAAGGCAGATACTCAGTCTCAGCAGCTAGTTTCATACCATGTTCTTCAAAAAAAATTCCATGCCTTAGTTGAGTGCACAAGTAAACGTGTGTGAACATTCGCTCCTGTCTACCCCATGTACATGTAGACATACAACAGAAACACATGTGCACCCACATACTGCAGGTTAAGATAATGAATGCCACTAAAGATTACTTTTCACCTAAAAATAAAACATGGCTAATTCTGTAAGCATGGATTTGACCCTAGCCAACTTTCATAAACACAGTCTGAGGAAAGAGCAAAAAGAGGCTGTCTAGGTCTTTCTTGTTGGGCTTCTTACATACATTCTTTAAAACAGGCACATCACTATGGATTATAAAAATAGAAATGTATATATCTGTTAATATACTCACAGCTTATGCTGGAATGGCTCACAGACAATTAAACATTACTCAAGTAAGTATAAAGGATAACATTGGGTCCACAAAGGCTGAGAACCACAGGAAACAAACAGCCTATTTGGTTTCTTTTTGTAGGGTGATAAAAACATGAAGAGAAGTAGCAACTAAACACACAAACAGACACACGAATTACATAGGAGAAATATAAATTAACCAAAAAAGCCATTCGGCTAAGGTGCAAACATGCGCTTTTCACCCACTTTCCTCTATCCCTGTGGTTTCAGGCATCATCACTTGCTGACCAACATGGAAAGCAATACAGAGCAGGTCTGAATGTTGGCAAATCTTCTAAGTACTGGAAATTAAAGCAAAGGCCTTCGTGATGTATGATCACACATTTTGGTAGAAACTTGGGATTTACAGAGATGCCTATTGAGCAGTAAGCAGTATGTGGAGCCAAGAAGCAAAGTCCTGCCCATTTGTCCTCCAAAGTCGTTAGACCATCGGCTTTGATCACTGACTGCATTTTACATGCTCTTCACCCTGGACAGAAAACAAATGCACCAACATGAGAATGTTTTTAGTCATGAGGTTTGATTACTCAGTTTTCAAATTCATGAATTTGTATTCATTTATTTTTGTGAGGGTGTGAAAATGAAGAGGCCTCTCAACATCAGTGCGGTAACGACAGGCTGAAGACTAACAATACTGGGTCTAGGATTCACCCTTATGATAACCAGGAAAAAACCACAGGGTCACCTTGTGGGGACCAATCAGAGTGGAGACAAACAAGTACCAGATGCTCCAGAACACTAAGAATAGCTTACCTAACTTATATACAGGTTGCCAATTTCCTTATAGCAATGCCAGTACCAATCCCTGTTTGACAAGACTCCTGCTACCCAACTCTTGCCCAATCTGAATCTGGGATCTGCTCCCCATCCTTTACTCATTAAAACCCTGCCATAGCTGAGCTCAATGCTTTCCCTGATCCAACCCAAGCTCGAGCTTGCAATAAAAGCTCTTTGCTTTTGCATATGAACTTGGACTCCTGGTAGTCTCTGGGGGGGCTCATGGCGTGGGCATAACAAGTATAGGGCATACGTGCCACGGCACACATGTGGAGGTCAGGGGACAACCTTATGTCCAATCTTCACCTTACACCACGTTTGAGACAGGGTCTCTTTGTTGTTTTTCCATGGTGTACACCACAGCTGCCACCCTGTGAGCTTCCAGAGATTCTCCTATCTCCCTTGCCATCTGGCTGTAGAAGTGCTGGGATTATAGACCATGCTATAGTACCTAGCTTTATGATTCTGGGATTCAAACTCAGTCCTTGTGTGGTCACAGGAAGTATTTTACTCACTGAACCATCTGCCAGCCCATCATAACCAGTTCCTGGGTTTTTGAGGCAGGATTTTATGTATAGCCCAGGCTCGCCTCAAACACTCTGTAGCAGAGGATGACACTGAGCCCCTCTTCTCAAGTACAGGTGTGCACCACCACACCCAGCTAAAATTCTTGACTTTTTCTTCAGGTTAATAGATACAGGAAGGCTTTTGTTGCTGTTGTTATTGTTTGATTTGTTATGAGACAGGGTCTAACTCCATCCCAGGACGACCTGGAACTATGTAGCTATGATGGTTAGACTGACAAAGTCTAGAATCAGCTGGGAGAAGACTTGTGGGGTTTACTTTGTCCCACTAACTGATGTGTGACATGCGATGGCCCACCTTAACTGAGGTGGCACTATTTCTGAGGCAGGGGACTCTGGACTGCACATGTGGACAAAGAGAACTGGGCAGTAACATCATGCATCCCTCACTCTTTGCTACTTCCTGAGGATGTGATGTGAGCAGCCTCCTCAAGCTCCTCCCTCTGCGACTTCCTCACCATGATGGACTGTGCTTTGAACTACAAGCTAACGTAAACTGTGGACCGATCCTTCTGTACACTGTGAAAAGGTGTTACTCTCATTGTTGATAAGAAGCTGACTGGCTAGGTAGGATTTTCAGGGCTGAGAGAATGCTGGGAAGGAGTGCAGAGTCAGAGGATTAACCAGCCAGATAGAAAGGAATCAGGATATTCAGGAGAGGTAAAAGCTAGCCTTGGGGCAGCACATAGATGAATAGAGATGGGTTAATTTAAGTTGAAAGAGTTAGTAATAAGCCCGAGCTATCAGCTGAGCATTATAATTAATACGTCTCTGGGGGTTATTTGGGAGCGGCTGCAGGGACATAGAGAAACTCTGCCTATAACAAACACTTTTCCTGTTGCTTTTGTCAGGATATTTTAATCCCACCAATAGGAAAAGAGACCAAGACAGATCTCAAAATCATAGTAATCTTTTTGTCTCAGCCTCCTGAGTGATCAAATGACAAGTGTGAGTCACATGTTCAGGTAGTAAGGCTTTTTAAAAATTATAAATAAATAGAAGATTAGCTGTGCTGGTTATTTTCACTAGTTTAATGTCCAATGTTATCTACTAAAAGTTATCAAAAACTCAGTTCCTTTAATTTTATAACTTTGAGGTTGGGTCTCACATAGCCTAGGTTGGCCTCAAGCTCAGTAAGTAGCTCAAGATGATCTTGAACTCCTGACCCTCTTGCCTACGTCTAACTGGGCACCCAGTATGGCAACATTTACTTATAACTATTTCAAGTCCTCCCAGACAGTAAGAACAAAGAAGAAAGTGCCTGGTATTTTCATCCTCTACCTCCCAGGTGAAAAATTACACACCTGAACCACTGACATCCTAAAGTCTTCACTCTCTTCAACCAACAAACACGTGCAAGACAGGAGCCTCTGTGTCATGTGACCCTCTGTGTTGTGTCATCAAGGAAACTGAGCTCATTAAGCGCCCCCTCAAGGCACCATAATATTCTTAGATGGAATGGGTAAAATTTCACAGCCTAGATTTGAGACTGGAATCTTTTGATATGATGTTAAAAACATGAGCAACAGAAGATACAAGAAGCTAACTAGACTTCATCAGAGTTAACCCTTTGTATATCCAAGGACACTATCAATAAAGTGAAAACACATTTGAGTGAGCAGGAGAAAGCTGCAAACCACACACTGACCACACTCCTAGTGTCCGAGCAAGAGGGAACTCCTAAAACTCCACAGCAGGGCATGGGGTCACATCCATATCCTAGCTCACAGGAAGCTAAGGGAGGAGGACCCCTGCATTCCAGCCAGCATGGGCTGGATAGTGAGACCCTGCCTCAAAAACACAAGACAATGTAAAAAAGCCTCAACAACAAAACACTTAACTGAGACACTGGCAAACTTAAATATGTCTCCAAAAAGCATATACAAATGGTCAATCCGCACAAGAGCAAAACACAGAATCAATATTCATTAAGGAAATGCACAATGAGGGGCTGGTGAGATGGTTCAGGGGTTAAAAGTGCTTTCTACTCAATCCTGGAGACCTGAGTTTGATTCCCAGAACTGACATAAAGGTAAAAACCCAGAGGCAAAATGTAGACTGACTAATTTAAGTGAAGAAAAGCTAGCTGGCTGGAGTGAGTGCCCTTGGGCCCCAGCTACCCGCCCACACCGGGAGACAGTGAAAGCTGTCTGACTGCTGGAACCAGACTCTCACCCTCAGCCCTGACTGCACCTAGAAGAGTGATCACCGGAGCCAAGGCACCACTGACACCTGAAGGAGTGACCACCAGAGCTGTGGATCTGCCTGCAGTGAAAGGAATGATCATCTGAGCCTTGGGCCCATCTGCACCTGGAGAGCAGTCAGCCCGGCCTGCCCCTGAAAGAACATTCAACTACAGCAACTGGAGGAGGAGGAGGAGGGAACCTGGAAGCACAGGTGCCACCCGTACTGACTGGAGGAAGAGATGGGTAGACAACAAGGTGAGGACACACTCAACAACATAAAGACCAGAAACCAGTGGTGCTGCATCAGCAACACTAAATATCCAAACATAGATGAAGTAGAAGAAAACATTAAAAATAACTTTACGAAGATGATTGAGGCCATTAAAGAGGAAATGAAAAATTCCCTTAAAGAAATGGAGGAAAGTCAAACAAAAATTGGAAGAAATCAACAAATTCCTTAAAGAAAACTAAGAAAAAGCAATCATACAGGGGAAGGAGATAGTAATCACTGGTTATTATTATCTCTTAATATCAATGGACTCCACTCACCTATAAAAACACATAGGCTAATAGACTGGATACAAAAACAGAATCCATCTTCTGCTGCATACAAGAAACACACTTCAACTTCAAAGACAGACATTACCTCAGAGTAAAGGATTGGGAAAAGATTTTCCAATCAAATGGATCTAAGAAACAAGCTGGTGTAGCTATCCCAATATCTAACAAAATAGATTTCAAACTAAAATTAGTCAAAAGAGATGAAGAAGGTCATTTCATATTCGTCACAGGAAAATCCATCAAGATAAGTTTCAATTATGAACATCTATGCCCCAAATACAAGGGCATCCTCATTTGTAAAAGAAACATTAATAAAGCTTAGATCATACATCAAGTCTCACACACTGATAGTGGGAGACTTCAACACTCCACACTCACCACTGGACAGGTCTCCCAAACAGAAACTTAACAGAGAAATAAGGGAACTATCAGATGTTATGACTCAAATGGACTTAACAGACAACTCTAGAACATTCCACCCAAACACAAAGGAATATACCTTCTTCTCAGCATCCCATAGAACCTTCTCAAAAATTGACCAAATACTTGGTAAAAAAGCAAGCCTCAATATATACAAAAAATTGATATAACCCTCTGTATCTTACTGGATCACCATGGCTTAAAGTTAGCATTCAACAACAACGCTAATTACAGAAAGTCCATATAAACTCATGGAAATTGAACAATGCTTAACCAAATCCCTACTGGGCTAAGGAAGAAATAAAGAAAGAAATTAAAGACTTCCAAAAATTCAATGAGAATGACAGCGCAACATACCCAAATTTATGAGACACAATGAAAGCAGTGCTAAGAAGAAAGTCCATAGCACTAAATGCCTACATTAAGAAGCTAGAGAAATCCCGCATTAGTGAATTAACAGACAACAGAAAGCTCTAGAACAAAAAGAAGCAAACTCACCCAGAAGGAGTAGATGACTGGAAATAATCAAATTGAGGGCTGAAATCAATAAAATAGAAACAAAACAATACAAAGAATCAATGAGACAAAGAGTTGGTTCTTCGAGAAAATCAACAAGATAGAAAAACCTTTATCCAAACTGACCAAAAGATACAGAGAGAATATCAAAATTAACAAAATCAGAAATGAAATGGGGACATAACAACAGATACTGAGGAAATTCACAGAATCATCAGGTCATACTTCAAAAACCTGTACTAAAAAAATGGGAAAATCTAAAGGAAATGGACAATTTTTTGAATAAGTACCACATACCAAAAGTAAATTAAGACCAGATAAATTAAATAGACCTATAACCTCTATGGAAATAGAAACAGTTATCAAAAGTCTTCCAACCAAAAAGGACTAGGACCAGATGGTTTGAGCACAGAATTCTGTCAGAACTTCAAAGAAGAGCTAATCATACCAATGCGCCTCAAATTGTTCCACACAATAGAAACAGAAGGAACACTGTCAAACTCTTTTTACAAGGCTACAGTTACCCTGATACCCAAACCACACAAAGACACAACTAAGAGAATTATAGACAAACCTACCAGCCAGCCAGGGCTGGATAGTGAGACCATGCCTCAAAACCATAACAAGACAATGTAAAAAAGCCTCAACAACAAAACACTTAACTGAGACACTGGCAAACTTAAACATGTCTCCAAAAATCATATGCAAATGGCCAATCCGCACAAGAGCAAAACACAGAATCAATATTCATTAAGAAAATGCACAATGAGGGACTGGTGAGATGGTTCAGGGGTTAAAAGTGCTTTCTATTCAATCCTGGAGACCTGAGTTTGATTCCCAGAACTGACATAAAGGCAGGAGGTGTTGTGGAATGTTAATTTAAGATGTGTTACATTTGTTTATGCTGTTGAACATTTGTTTAGCACAGACCAATCTCCCTAGTGAACACTGATACAAAAATAGTGGCAAATCGAATCCAAGAACACATAAAAAAATCATCCCCATGACCACGTAGGCTTTATCAACACACAAAAATCCATCAGTGTAATCCACCATATAAACAAAGTGAAGGAAAAAAAAACACATGGTCATCTCATTAAATGCTGAAAAAGCCTTCAACAAAATTCAACACCCCTTCATAATAAAGGTCTTGGGAACAGTTGGGATACAAGGAACATACCTAAACATAACAAAGCAATATATATCAAACCAATAGCCAACATCAAACTGAATGGAGAGAAACTCAAGGCAATTCCTCTAAGATCAGGAATAAGGCAAGGGTGCCCCTCTCCCCATATCTCTTCAATATTGTACTGGAAGTTCTAGCTAGAGCAATAAGACAACAAAAGGAGATCAAGGGGATACAAATTCGAAAAGAAGACCTGGGTATCAATCTACATAACTATGAATACCTGATTTTTTGACAAAGAAGCTAAAATTATAAAATGGAAAAAAGAAAGCATCTTCAACAAATGGTGCTGGCATGACTGGATGTCAACATGTAGAAGATTGTGAATAGATTCATATCCATCACCATGCACAAAACTCAAGTCCAAATGGATCGAAGACCTCAACATAAAACCAACCTCACTGAACCTCATAGAAGAGAAAGTGGGAAGTAACCTTCAACACATTGGCACAGGAGACCTCTTCCTAAATATAATTCCAGTAGCACAGACACTGAGATTGACAATTAATAAATGGGACCTCCTGAAACTGAGAAGCTTCTGTAAAGCAAAGAATATGCTCAACAAGACAAGACACAGCCTATAGAATGGGAAAAGACCTTTACCAACCCCGTATCTGACAGAGGATTGATCTCAAAAATATATAAAGAACTCAAAAAACTTAACATCAAAAGACCAAATGATCCAATAAAAAATGGGGTACAGATCTAAACAGAGAACTCTGAACAGAGGAATCTCAAATGGCAGAAACACACTTAAGGAAACGCTCAACATCCTTAGTCATTAGAGAAATGCAAATCAAAACAACTCTGAGATACCATCTTACACCTTTCAGAATGACAGATTTTTTTGAAGCTGTTCATTTCATGTCACATGAATTTCACTTCAACAAAAAGTAAAACAACCTTGGGCTGGGCATGTAGAAAACTTACCTAGCATTTCTGAAGCTATGGGTTCAGTTCCCCAGCACTGCAAAAGAAAAACATCCTCAGTTACACTTACTGTAGCAAGAGCCTGGGCTTGTGAGAGTAGCCTCTAAAACTACAGGAGAGACCCAGGACCTCACCCAGCCACCCTACCACTTCTCTCTCATTCCCTGGTTTGGTTTTGTCCTGGGAATGAATGCTGGCCTAGAGCAATGGTTCCCAACCTGTAGGTCAAGACTCCTTTAACAAAACTCTATCTCCAAATATATCTACATTATAATTACTCTTTATTTCTGAGTTTTCGTTTTGTTTTGTTTCAAGACAGGTTTTCTCTGTGAAGCCCTGGCTGTCCTAGGCTCCCTCTGTAGACTAGGCTTGCCTCTGCCCCCCAAGTATATAGGGATTAAGGCATGTGCCACCATCACCTGGCTTACAATTCATAACAGTAGCAAAATTACAGTTCTGAAGTAGCAATGAAAAATAATTTTATGATTAGGGATCACCATAACATGAGGAATTGTATTAGAGTCACAGCATTAGGAAAGTTGAGAACCACCAGCCTAGAGCATGCCAGCTCTTAACACATAGCCTGTTGCTAAACTGCAGCCACCTAAGAATACAGCTCTTTAGCACTGTTATTGGAGTAAATGTCTAAATTAAATGTTAAAGTACCTTGTGAACTGTGAGTAAATGCACAAGTAAAAGAAAGTGGCATTAACAACACTCCGAGGGCCACTTTAAATTATGGACTGTCTACCATATACTCATCAGTTAGCTGGGCTATTCATTCTGCCTTTTGACATGGGGTCTTTCTATGAAGCCTATGCTGGCCTCCAACTCGAAGTTCCCGTAAGTGATGGTAGAGCAAGTATATACAATCACACCCAGCCTTCAGCTGGCTTTCATTTCAGGGGTTAGGTCTTCCACCACAACACTCACAGACTAGCACTTTAAAAATGACATTAGCACTCCGCTTTATTTCAAGTCACACTGTTTAGTGATTGACACACACTCCACCTTGGGATGCTTGCTTAACAGGAATGTTCCTGTAGATGGTACTCACACAAATTGGTGTTAGCATCTGTCTTCCCGGCTTTGGGATGCCTGCTTGAGTTCTGCTGAGACTTGTTCTGCTCCTCTCCAGTGAGTAGGGCCCTTATTTCAGAAGGGATTTTCCCTTGGTCCATTGCCATGCACCATTGCTTGTACTGAAATATTTAATACAGTTGAGTAAAACGCCAAGTCAGAGTTCGGATAGCATGTGTGGAAATCCTAGACATAGGAGCTCCCCTGAGGGCTGGGCTGTAGGTCACTGCTAGAGCACTTGCTTAGCATGCAAAAGGCCTTGGGTTTGATATCCAGTACTGGGCGAGGGGAGACTCTCTCCAGTAAAGATTCACTAAACAACTACCAGTGGCAGTTACTATTACATGTATGAGAACACACACACATTCTACTACACTGTACACTATAGACTTTGGGGGTATACAAAGATTCTGCCGTCAGGCAACTTGTACCACAGAAGCCAAAATAATAATATGACATATAACATACAAAATTCAGCATAAAAATCAATAGCAATATATTACAAGAAATAAATGGAACAGCACCCATCTGGAGCATCTTAAATTAGCCTTTATTGCTCCTTTGCTTTTGTGTATGGGTACAAGCACGTGCATGTGTGTGTGCATGTCTCGCTGCATACCAGTTCGGGTACAGACTAGCAGTTGATGTCGGTGTCTTCCCCCTTAATTTTTGAAACAAGGTCTCTCCCTGATCTGGGAGCTCATTGATTGGCTAGACAGCCCCAGAGACCCTCCATCTCCCCTGCCTCTAGCACTGGGATGTCAAGTGTGTGCCACTCACTGTCCCTGCTATGTGAATTCTAGGGACTGAACTGAGGTCTTCATGTTTGCATAGCAGGTGATTCACCCAGGCATCTCTGCCCCTTAAGAATTTTATCATTGTCATTGCATGTATGAGCTCACATGGCACAGCATTTACGTGGAGGTCAGAGGACAACACTGTGAGCTGGTTCTCATCTCTCACCTTATGTGGTTTCAGGTTCACACTCCTTAAGGTGGCTGGCTTCTGTGTTAATCGCTTTACTCAATGAGCCATCTTGGCCCCTCCCTATTTCAATTCTTTAGGCTTGTATTAACTGCATGTGTAGAAGTCATAGAAGACAGCCTTGAGTGTCAGTCCTTCTCTTCCACCTTGAGATAGGGGTGATTTGTCATTCGCTGCTGCATATGCCAGGCTAGCTGAGCCCAGTGTCTGGAGACTGGTGTTTCTGTCCTCCATCTTGCCAAGGAGCACTGGGATTACAGATGTGCACTACTCTGCATCCAGTCTTATGTGGGTCCTGAGGATCTGCTCCAGGCCCTCTGATCACTTAGTCATCTCATTAGCCATGTGGGGTTTTTTTTTTTTTAGAAAAATCTCAGAATTTCAGAGGCTGGCCTTGAACTGCTGATCCTCCTGTCTCTATCACCCAAGTGCTGGAACTCCAGGCATGCACCACACGCCCAACTTCCTTACTTTTTGAAAAGCCAGCTTTGCAACAGTCATGGTGGTATTCTCTCTTCTCTCACCTGTTAACTCATCCCTGGGTTCATAGTTAAAAGGTTTTCTCTACTCTCCTATTTCTACAATCTCCATAAACTCTGAATGCAAAGTGAATAAATTCATGCGAACACAAATGGCAGCCTCCCATACAGAATTGTAGATTGTTATGTGGCTTTTCCCACTTAGCAATACATCGTGAGCATCCTTCTGCATCAGTAAATATTTACATGCACTGTGATTTTGGGGACACAGACCTTGGAACTTGGAGCTTTTCCAAATTTGACTGCATTGTGCCCCGTTTCATACAGTGCTGGCATCAAACTCAGAGCCTCATGCATGCTAGATAAGCATTCTACCAACTAAGCCACACCCCTATCCTTGTTAACTTTGGTCACACTTACTACACACCAGAAGAGGGTACTGGATCCCATCACAGATGGGAATTGTACTCAGGTCCTCTGGAAGAACAGCTAGTACTTTTTTGTTTTGGTTTCTCGAGACAGGGTTTCTCTGTGGCTTTGGAGGCTGTCCTGGAACTAGCTCTTGTAGACCAGGCTGGTCTCGAACTCACAGGGATCTGCCTGCCTCTGCCTCTCAAGTGCTGGGATTAAAGGTGTGCGCCACCAACACCCAGCAGCTAGTGCCCTTAATCACAGAGCCATCTTTCCAGCCCCCATTTTTTTTTCTGTCACAAACATTATCTTAATGTTCCCACAAGCACTGTATTAAAAAGTGCCTATTTGCCTACAATGTGGCAAAAAAGATTAACATTCTTTCCAATGTTTGCCAATTAGACAGTAAAGACTGGTCTAACTCCTGTTGCACTGGATGCTCATTGACAGCCAGGTTAGGTTGGATGTGTGTCCCGTTGCGTGTGCGGAGGCTTTACCATTTCCAGTTCCTCTCGGAGTGCACATATAGCTCTTTCCCGGCTGGACACCAACTCCTCCAAGTACTGGTATCTCAGCTTTTTCCTGGCCCGGCATTCTCTTGCACTCTGGCGGCTCCGCTCAAGTTTTGCTTTCAAGTCAATTTTGGCTGGCTTCCGCCCGCGTTTGCCAGGCTTCTTCACTTTGCCTCCAACCACCTTCAGCAAGAGAGAGGAGACACCATTTTTTCCTTTTAGTTTCCTTATGAAAAAGCAACTATGGTTGCCTATTAGCAAAGAGGATGTTCATAAATAATAAGGAAGTGAAGCCTACAGAGCCAAGAAAGCATAACCCTATCTCATAATCTCTCTGCTTTCCCATACTTTTGATGTCATGAATGTGAGATAATATATAATGCAAGCTTTTATTAGTTCTTCAATAATAATAAAGTCTAAACAGTTTAACAATAAATTCTATAAGCCATATGAAGTTGGATATTTTAAAATTTTTTATTTTTATGTTTTTAAGTTATGTGTGTGTAGGTTTGTGCATATGAGAGCAGTGACCTATGAAGACCAGAGGAGGGTACTGAATCCCCTACGAGAGGAGTTCTGTGACCTTTCAGACACAAATGCTAGGATCTAAACTCATTACCATTTGTAGCTCCAATCCCAAGGAATCTGACATTTTCTTCTGGCCTCCCGTGTCACCAAGTATGCATGTGGTAGACAGACATACATGCAGGTAAAACACACACCGAAAACAAAGACTGAGTTTATCATGACATCTTTTGATGTCTTCTGTGTACTGTTTGCCTGCAATGCTTGTGTAGCGCAAGTGTGTCTGGGTCTGCTGAGGTCAGAAAAGGGCGTTGGATCTCTTGGAGCTGGAGTTACAGGCAGTTGTTTGCTGCCATGTGGGCACGAGGAATCAAGCCCGGATCATCTGCAAGAACAAGTGGTTTTAACCATGGAGCCATCTCTCCAGCCTCAGTTTATCATGATTTCAATGTAAGAAAGTTAACAAATGAGGACTTCTTTGCTGGGTATGATTATGAACAGGTTTTATCTCATGTGTATTTTCAAGTTTTTTTTCTTCTTTTTTTTTTGAGGTTAGTTTCTGGGAGTCTATTTTTTGGTGCAAAGCACAATTATTGCGTCAGGAAATCCAACACTGGCCTTGGGGATACCCCAGTGGAGGGGCAAGTTGTCCCCAAGGTACTAAGCATTTCAGCAGGATGAGGAGCCCAGGTGTGCAGATACTGGACATGGGTAACCAGGAGTGAGCCACTGGAAGGGATGGCTGCCGTGCTTTGGAGCATGCACGCTGAGGATCTCTGTCTCTCTCTGTCTGTCTCTCTCTCTGTCTCTCTCTCTCTCTGTCTCTGTCTCTCTCTGTCTGTCTCTCTGTCTCTGTCTCTCTCTGTCTCTGTCTCTCTGTGTGTGTGTGTGTGGTGGCAAGGCCTGAGGTCCATTTGCAGGGATAAGTGTGTGCTACTGGATGACCTATACATACATACTTATTCGCTTTTTATTGTCAAGATTTTTAACTTTACAATTAGATATAGATATAAATATATAAAACTTACATTAAATTGCATGTAAACATGTTAATATGCATCCTAAGTGACTTAGCTATAAGCTTCCTCTTCAAATGTATTGAAACTGTAGGAAGACTAAGGAAGACCCTGAAATTTTCAGGAGTCCTTCCCTCCTGCCTTTAGAAGCCAGTAATTATTGCCCCAGACTATCTCAGGTTTCTGTTTGCTCCCACTGGTGCCACTGACTCTCACTCCAGATTTGCATTCACTGACAACATAGGCGCAATTATTAGGACTGGCCAAGAAATTTAAACTTTTCACCGTTTAGTTCTGAAACCAAGTCACACCCCAGCAATGCCAGTCTTCACGCCTTTCTTGGGGGAAGCACTGTTTGGATACAGTTTTTACAAGTCTCACTACTTCAGAGCTCTTTACATTTCTCCATTTCCCCTGAAAGCCACCCTCAGAGAAAAGCTGGCACTGGAGCTCAGTGACAAAGTGGGGCTCAGTGGTAGAATCCAACATTGTATAAAGCCCTAGGTTCAATCCTCACCACCACCCGCACAATCACTCTCAAGAATGCACATTTATACCCTCCATGTACTGAATGCTGTTAAGGCAATTCTAAAAGAAAAGGTGTAAAATGAAACACCAGCAGTTAATCACTGCAATAAATGTAAAACCTGCAAGGCAATAAAACGAAAGGGCAATGCTCATTTGTTTATCTGAGACCACTAATAGTTTACATACAAACAATGTCAAGCACACTATAAAATCAGACCACTAAATATAATGGTTAAATTAAAAAAAAACTAAAATCAGACCACTAAATATAATGGTTAAATTAAAAAAAACTAAGGCCAGTGTTTGTGGCACACACCTTTAATCCCTGTATACTCCAGGAGGAGTAGATGGACCTCTGTGAACTTCAGGCTAGCCAGGGCTACATAGTGTCCTTGACTCAAAACAAACTAAAAACCAACCAACCAAAACAAATCACAAACAAACAAAAAAACCCGAACCCTGTTTATTTACTTACTTATTGGTTCTGGAGCTCCAACCCAGAGCCTTAGCCCTAAAACCAAAACAAACACCCTCCATACTTTAAAAACAAATAGCTCATTTTTACACCTTTATCAAATTCCACTTCAAGGCTTCTAGTAGCTTCTAGGAGACAGGCTACTCAATAGCTGTGGGGAAAATGGTACCATTTCCACTACCATATTAGAAGCTAGCCGTGGACTAGAGAGATGGTTCAGTGGTTAAGAGCACTGACTATTCTTCTAGGATCAGGGTTCAATTCCCAGCACACACACATGGAGGCGTATACCTATCCATAACTCTAGTCCCTGGGGATCCAATGCCCTCTTCTGGATGATGTGGACACTGCATACACTGGGTGCACACACGTACATGTATGCAAAACACAAATATTTAAAAAATTTGAAAGCTAGCTACTCTAATACTTATATCTGGTAGGTTTCAACTTGTCAAAAATTGGTCTTTGAAAGCTTTTCTGGTCTGTAACATCATTTTATATTCCAGTATAACCAGTATAACCAGAAAGCTTTCCAGAGTCAAATACTTGTTAATAATTGCAGAATGGCTCAGTGACCTCAGCATTATGAAATTTTATATGTTTATATTTCATAAACTACATAAGTTAAAAACAGTATTTTGAAACCATCCTTCATTCAATTTGGATTGCTACAGTTTTTAGAAAGCAATATGAAGGGCCAGGTCTGACAAAGCACAAAGGTACAGAACTTGCCCAACATGCACGTGCAATATATGATGCCAGGCACGGTAGAACATGCTGTATTCAGGAGGCTGAGGCGGGAGGATTGCTTTGAGTTCATGATCAACCTCAGCTACAAAATTTGACCCTGTCTCAAAAGATATACACAGACAGACAGACAGCCTCACACACACACACACACACACACACACACACACACACACACACACAGAGAGAGAGAGAGAGAGAGAGAGAGAGAGAGAGAGAGAGAGAGAGAGAGAGAGAGAGAGAGAGAGAGAGAGGATGGACATAGCCTATGTCTATGATCTCAGCACTCAGGTAACTAAGCAAGAAGCTCAGGAATTTGAGGGCAGCCTGGGCTTACTTCATAGTGAGACCTTATCGCCAAATGTACGAATGCCACAGAGTAAAGGTGCTAGTTGCATAAACTTGAGTTCAATTCCTGGATCCCATGGTAGAACAGAAGGAGAAAATCAACTCCTAAAAAGTTGATTTCTGACCGCCATATGCATGTCATGTCACAAGTGGGCACTCTCGATCTCACTTTTCTCTCTCACACAAATCCCTTTAAAGAAAGGCAATCTATGTCCCAGTGTAGGCGAGCCAGCAATCACACAGTGCAAGCTATATCCACGCCTTCACACACTGCTGCTCTAGTTAATTCAGGGATGGCTGCCTGTGAAAACAGCCATCTCTGGCAGCAAGAGAACAGAGTGTACAGCAGTCTTCTTTGAGTTCTGAATTGAATCTAGCACAGTCTTTACACAAACCATATCAACTTCACTTTCATAGCAAAATATGCAATTATTGTAGTCCATTTATTTTATTTTATTTTATTTTATTTTTTGGTTTTCCGAGACAGGGTTTCTCTGTATTGTTTTGGAGGCTGTCCTGGAACTCGCTCTGTAGACCAGGCTGGCCTCGAACTCACAGAGATCCGCCTGCCTCTGCCTCCCGAATGCTGGGATTAAAGGCGAGCACCACCAACACCCAGCGTCCATTTTTTTTTTGTATGTGTGGGCATTTTGCTTGCATGTGTATCTGTGCCCGATGCCTGTGAAGACTAGAAGAGGGTGTTGGGTCCCTTTGGAATTGGAGTTAGAAGTAGGTGTGGGTGCTGAGAATTAAACCTGAGTCCTCTGGAAGAGCAGCCAGTGCTCTTAACTGCTGAGCCATCTCTCCAGACCCAGCTCAGGTATTCTTTTCTTAAGGTTGAAAGACACAGTAAATTAACAATGTAATTAGATTTAATGTCATATAACCACTACTTCTCTAGCTTAACTGCTTCTGCACCTGGCCAAAGTGTCTGCTTTTTGTAGCAGCCACAGTATGGTACTTAAGTACACCGGTGTTCTAGAGTTGTTTGCATTAGAGGATTGTTGTAAATCTCAAGCTTTGTAATACATCACAGCAGTTTGCAAACCAAAGCATTATATAAATGTGTTAGAACTTCAAGACATTAATATTTAAACTGTATGCATTCCATAAGCCATTCAATATTGATAGGGGAGGGATGGCTCAGTAGTTATAAATGTGCACTGCTCTTGCACAGAACTTGAGTATAGTTCCTAGCACTTACTTCAGGCACCTCACAGTTGTAGTACAGAAAAAGAAAAAAACAGGCCCAGAGACAGATATTGGGGTTTCAAGCTTCAAGCCAAAAATCAGAAAAGCAAAGCAGCCAAGCCACTAGCTCTTACCTCTACCTCAGCTCAGACCAAAATGGCAATCCTCAAACTGCTCCCAACTTCACTGCTCCTCAGATTCACCCAGACTGCTATGTTCTCCTCAACATGGCTAGAGAGTCCTGAGACTGATTCCTAAAAACCCTGCTCCTATCTTTGCTGGGATTAAAAGCATGAGCTCTGTTACTCTTTTAGACTGATTCAATCGTGTGTAGCCCTAGTTGGCCTTTAACT